GGGTAGAGGCCATGTCTTCTGTCCTGGTGTTCTGCGATATCGTGTACCAGACCTAATATTTGGTCGAATTTGGATACGACTGAATACCTAATCGTACCTTGCTGGTCTAGCTCGCAGTTGTTTATCAGTTTTATCGCGACAACTTCTTTGTCAAAAAGCTTCAAAATATGAATCGTGGCTCAACCAAACTCGATTAGGTATTGATATTACTACAAAAGCCTTTTTCACGGATAACTTTTCTCGTTTGCAATAAAATATAATCTAGCATGTATGTAAAGAAATTTCGCACTATTTTGTAGTTTCAGCCCGAAATTGCCTCGCATGCACGTTGGATTACATTGTAATGCAAAAGAGAAAAACTAACCGTAAAAAGGGCTATTACCATTAGCAATAACTTGAAGGGAAAAAAGCTTTAGACAGAGTCCCTCTGATTAAGATGTAGTCATTTTAGAATGACTAGAAACAGTCACACTTTGTTTAACTTCACAAAAGTCAATTTGTTATAAGCATTTTTTACTAGATAGTCAATTTTATTGCGTGGTCTGTCCAGTTCTCCAGTTTGACTGGAAATAAAGCAATATGAAACATACACAATAATTTCAGTTTTTCTCAATCAAAGGTGAGCTTGATTCATTTTTCAGGAGGGTTCCCTTACCCTGGAATCAGAAACAGAGAACTTATGAGACTACTTAAACGAGGATACAGGATGGAAAGACCAGATACTTGCTCAGAGGAGTTGTGAGTCATTTTTGTTGTTGAAGTTGGAGAGAAGAGTAACTTATATAATTACCTGATGAGTTTTGAGTCATTATTTTGCGGAGAGAAAGTCGAAGTGTAAACTAAGTGTAATCTTTAATTTTAAACCGAAAAACAATATTTTGGACCGGGAAAAGAATAAAGCTTACGATTCGCATGGACTAAGCCAAGGGTAGTTTCTACCAGTCTAGTTGTGGGACCTAAGATATTAAGGGAAGTTCGTATCGGAGGGCGATTCCGAGACTTGAACAGAATGTTTCTAAAATGGTCTCTCTCGTTTCTCTCTCAACACAGCTATCATTTGATAACACGTTGCTGGGCAGATAATCCGGACACGCGACCAACCTTTACCGAGCTGTGCCAAGATCTAGAGGACTGGATGCAAAGAGACACTCCTTATTTGGACATGGACCAGGTGGATGAAGATCAACCTTACTACGATGCGTCTGCAATGTCAGCGTCCAGCGGATCATCCTGCGAAGAACATGCACCAGTGTGTCCTGACTTAAACAACACCGCAGAAAATCTGTCTTGTGGTATTCAGGATGTTTAACTCGAAATTACAAACTTTTAAAGAAAATTAAAACGTCAGAGCAGTAGTAATATACACGTAGGCTAAAAGTCTGATACGATCACAGGAATTCGCCGTTCGCCTAGTAAAGCCGGCCGCGTCCTCCCGCCTGGGGCTACCAGAGTTATTGCTTTCAGCCCCGGGGCCCCAGCTTCTCCGATCGGCCGGTCGTTGCTGGTTCTCATTTCCAACTAAAACCAAGTAATAATTATAATAATATTAATAATAATAATGATAATAATAATTTCTTAAAACATAATCAAGCGAATATTAAAGTTAATATATATCCGGCGTTTTAGCGTCATCGTGACACCATTCTCAAG